AAAATAAGATGCGCGTGTGTCTCCGTGTCACGCGACCATCCCGGCAGAAATTAAGAAGATATCAAAGTTTGTTAATCTAAACTTTTGTGATTAAATAATTTTCATGTGCGTTTTCAGGGATGTTTAACCGAAGTAGAGGAGTTCTTTCATGAACATTTTACTATTCTTGCATTTGCTGGAATTGGCGTTGCTGGTATTCAGGTATATTGTTGTACAGTACACTTACATGTATAGTATCGGAAACTGGTGATCTCGACTGTGGGCCGATTCCGGCCTCACAGTCACTCGCGCAGTCTACATAATCTATTCTTCCGGCGAGATGAATGCTTTGTATTATTCACCAACAATAAAACTGTTGCAGAAGTGTGGGAGAGCTCCTCCTATCAATTTCATTCCGGGTGAAACGACTACAGGATGCGGGAAAAGTTGTTTGAAAATCGATTTTACTATAATACATTTCGCGCGAAAATGTGATATCTTCACATTTAGTAATAACAGTGAAAAGATCACCGTCGCTATGGTTACATAAGAAGTCGCGCCTTTTGCAGCAGGAATATTATAAAGGGCAATGTTTTTTTTGTGTTTTATTGATGATTATTTGAAAAACAGGACATTACTTAGCCGCTTGGAGATATGAAATTTCTCCTCGTTTGTTGAAGTATATTTCACGAGTGTGCGCACTGTCAAACCGCCCTGTTCGACCACCTTTCGTAAGTAAACGTCTACTGAAAGCACTGAGATTTTCCCAGTAAAAGTCTTATAGTTATTCAGACATTGCAGGCAGTAAATATTCCCTCACGTACATGTACAATACTCTGCAAGCAGAGCCTCCGCCTTTAAGGTCTCCGCAGCCCGAACCGAGTGTGAGCACCGGCTATTAGGCCTGGGTTTGAAACTGTATCCTAGCAACATGCAGCGCGTGCTGAAAAAAAAGATCTTACTAACCTGCAAGCAAGCTCTCCGGGGCGCTCTGGCGGCGGGAAATGGAAGGAGAGCTTGCAAATACGTCTCTGGAATTTTAATACGTGCACCGAAAAAGTCGATGCGAAATGCTGATTGGTGGAGAAGACATTAGTAATGACGTCATTACCCTGGCACGTGTTTTTAAAAGTTTGTTTACATTCGCGCCGTTTCCGCGTCGCGCTGATTGGCGGAGAGAGAGCTTTGAGAGAGCTTGCTCGCAGGCTCGAGCACGCTCAACTCGAGCAAGCGGAAGAAGTCAAAGAAATTCTCTGCACAGGGTGATGTACATTCAAGTAGAGATCACCTGTTCCCAGTCGAGACCACCTACTGCCCGACCGGTTCGAATCTTTTAAGCGGCCACCGCTAAATCTTGACAGTTTGCTTACACTTGTTAACGTTAGGCTTAACTGTATTTTTAGGAGGCGGTATTAAATTAAACGTTCTTTTCTTTTCATCCACAGTTGATCGGCATCCTAGTGACAGTCTGCATTCTCCGTTTTGTGGAAGAATATTAACTCGAGTATCAGACGCAACTCAGTTTATTTGCAGGGATGGACACTTATTATGTACACTGCAACGCTAATTTTTAAATTGAAATTTTGTAAAATATATCCTTAGGTTTGCATTGCTTACCCAGGGAATAAGTTGAACGGAATACATAATGTATTAACAGCAACAACAACAACAACAACAACAACAACAACAAAGACAAAGACTTTCTATTTGCTATAATTTTTTAATATTATGGTTTCGAACTAAAGCTAACAAAGCTAGTGCAGGCAATGGTAAGTATACTTGATTTTTTTCCTTAGAATCTAGTTGGTAACAAATCTATTCATTCATAGCGTATGCTAATTATGGAAAAAAAAGTCGGATGTTTCAAGTTTGCATTTTGTTTCTTTTTTTTAATAAATTACACTGAATTTCTTTTTGCTAAAGACGTAAAGTACTGAAAATAGCGTCGATTTTCAGCCCAGTCAAAATGAGACGGCAGCCAGCAATTTTTCCGCTTTCAGCGGAATATTTGTCGCCTACTCAATTTTTAGGTTCAGTAATAACAAAAACCACACAAATTAAGGCCTTTGCTGCCTTCTCGTCTGGTTATTGTACTTACCATTGTATAAAACATTTTGACTGGGCTGTATTTTAGTTTAGCCTTCAAGTATTGCCTTTTTAGTATTTGTATTGTTTGTGTTGATGTTTTAGCTTGAAAGAGGTTTGCTATCGCTATCTTTGGCAGCTGTGTGGTGTTGACTACACCTTAAAAAGGATAATTTTGTTTATTTCATGGGACGTTTTGCCTCGTTTTCCGAGCGCCGTTTTTGCTATAGTTTTTAAACTTTTGTTAAGTGTAGACAAGAGCAATGTTAGGTTAAAATATCTTGCACATTAATATGTCCCTGTGACAATATTTAACTTAAAGCTCCAAAGTTGTCAACTGGTGTGTAAATTTTCACTGCTGTTTCCTTTTTTTAAAGCTACAAAGTATAAACAAACAACAACCTTCATAAAGGACAAGTAACACGACCGCTAAAGCGCTATCAATGGTTGACAGTCAAAACCAAATTTGTAATTAATAAAATTCTTTTTATCGTAGATCCTTTTGTTTTTTCTCATTTGCTGCTCATTGCATTCAGATCTTTGGCTGAATGCAATAGAACTTCGCTAATTAGAATTTGCGCCAGTAATACATAATTGTAAGATCATTTTGATTCATTTCCGGCCCCCTTAAATGTTCCTAAGGGTTTTAGTTTTGAGACTCTCGGCCGTTCATTAATTATCCCTTAACAATAATAGCAATAATAATAATAGTAATCATTATAATAATAATAATAATTTTATTCAACTTAAAAAAATATGTACATAATTTACAGAAATACTTGAAGTAAGAATTAAGCAAGAATTATGTAAATCATAAAAATAACAACCACTGTGTCAATAACGATTTCGCAAATACATTCCTTGCGGCTCAGATGTGGTCAATAACTCTTGCTGGCAGTCCAGAATTTTAATTAAGTCATTATAATGATAATAATAATAATAATAATAATAATAACAATAATAATAATAATAATAATAATAATAATAATAATCTTTTATTGATAAGAAGACTAACTACAAAATCCGGCCTATTTACAATTAAATTTTGCTTAAAAAAAAACTATCCAGTACAAGTACTATTTACAATTCATTTCGATTAAAAAAACCCACATAGTTCCGATTAAAAATTCATTTCAATTAAAAACCGTTATTCGAATACTAATACTAATACTAATCAATACTAATACTAATACTAATTTTTAATAAATAATAATAATAATACAAAACTTTATTCATAGATTTAAAAAAAAATAGACTATTTACAGATTCAAAAATATGAAATATTAAAATATATACCCTATGTACATTCTTCTTGTGTACGAAAGAGAATTGTCGTAAAATGACTATCTAAAGACTACTAATAACAATTATAAAAAGCATCAAAAAGTAAATAAAAAGAATAAAAAACTATTTAAAAATAACAATTCAAACTGATAAAAAGTTACTACTTAAATTCTGGCTTGCGCACTTTCCGATGTAATGTCAATGTCAGATATATTGGCTGCTCTTCTCTTGCTCCTGGTTCCTCTGAGACACAGCAAGGCTGATCGTAGGATGGCAAAGGATACTTTCGCCCTTATCCAAGATATGGTTGTAATAATAATAATAATAATAATAATAATAATAATAATAATAACAACAACAACAGTAACAATCAATCCTGATATTGTGGTATTGGATAAGATGGAACGCAAGTGTCTGATTATTGATGTCGCTTGTCTATTTGACACCCGAGTGAAAGACAAAGAGAAAGAGAAAATTGAGAACTACCAAGACCTGAAGCGGAAGTTGAGACGGATCTGGAAATTGCGCACAGTAACTGTGGTGCCAATTATGATTGGTACATTAGGAACTGTCTCGATAGATATAGAAAAGTGGTTAGCAGAGATTGGTGTCACATGTCGTTTGGAATCATTGCAGAGGGCGTGCTTACTGGATACAGCCAGAATCCTTCGCAAAGTCTTAGACACTTGAGGTCATGGGCGGTGACTTAACGTTTAAGGAAGACTCCAGCAAGTCATCCAAGAAGTCGTGTTTAATGCGGGTGATGATGATAATAATAATAATAATAATAATAATGATAATAATAATGATCATGATGACGATAATGATAATGATATCAGTGATAATGATATTAATAATAATAATAATAATAATAATACTAATAATAATAATAATAATAGTAATAATAATAATAACTGGCTGACAAATTTGTGCGATAATTACCGGCAAAAAAAGTGAATGAATTAAAACATAATTTTAAACTAGGGAACATTATCGCTGTAAAATTTAAACTTGTATTTCTCTCCATTCCGTTACTGACTTTCGAAGGGTTGCCTCGTTGGATTAGCTCTTTCTCCACCTGTAAAGCTCACTCATCCTTCGTTGGGTTTTCGCTTTTGATCTTTCCTTCGAGATAGAGATGGTTTGGCCTGGAACTTGCCCCGGCAGTTATCATATGTTATTGAATATCGAGATTTTGTGTTGTAAGTTCCCTGAGGAGTATCATTTAATTTTGACCAGCACATCTCGCCAAGTTTTTGCTTTAACCTTTTTTTCATTTTGTAAAAAGGAAGATAGTTTCAAGGCATATATTTTGTTGGTGTACTAAAATGGTTCTAGTTTTTAGAATTATTATTATTATTATTATTATTTGCTATTTAATCATCCTTTAAGTTTTAGGCATTAAGGATTCTCTAGGCCCTAGAGTCTTGCGAAGTTTTCTTGTTCTCCTTCGAAGCCTTTAACAACAGCAGTCAAAAGTGCTTGTTGGGAAGCCAAAGTTTTATATCTTGTTTAAACCAAAATTTTAGTGAAGAATTACTAAAATTTGATTGAGTTTATTTGTCATGACAGTTGTTAGCAATTGGCCGTTTATATACAAGGTTCTGTCGAATGTTTTTGTTTTTTTTTCTTCTGCCCTAACACCTAATATCTCAAAAATACCACTCTTTTAGTAAGACTGTATAAATTTGTTTATCTCCACCTGCCGATCCGTTTACTATAGAAAGCGACAAACACCAAAAAATGTTTTGGTTTGTACAAAATGACTTATCCACAAACTGAATTAAACGACTGCTTAAAATGTCTCAAAGTGTAGGATTAACATCAGATGAGCACGAAAAAAGGTACTGTTTTAGGGGATTTGAAAGTAAAATTGGTCAATTTTTACCCTCGTTCAATCAGATAAAGGTGACGTCCTCCTTTTTAACTGATTTCTCAACGTTAAGTGCTTAAGTTGAAGCTGTACATTAGTTGAAAAGCCACCTCAATAAGGCAGTTAAAAAATACTTTGGACTGTTTTGTCTGATGTGCACGCACAGAGGCGAGCTGGATGCTTTATTGTGGAACGATAAGGAAAAAAGTAATTGAAAACATTGAAGGTGAACAATTGTCACACAAAAAGGCATATGAATGAGGATATGCTATCTTTTCAGATAGGTTTCCGCCTTTACATTACACATAATCCTGAAGGAAATGAATTTGCTTCCATCATTGTCATTCATCGAAAACAATGTATTTAAAATCAGCATAAGAAAATTTGCCAGGTTGAAATTCAAAATTGACGACGAGGAGTTGAAGTTTGAAGTTTGGTGGAAATTCGTGGGTAAGTTCAGTTCCCGTATGAGTTGACAGATTCAGTCGCACATTCCTCGATCAAAGTACATCGAAAGACTTTCTCTACTTCTTATATCACTCAAATGATTTATTTTTTGAGGGGTCATCTGCCTTATTTGAAATTGGAGTTCTCCCTACAACATTGCAACCTCTTGATGTTAAAAAAGTACATTATATACATATGAGAGGTCTATTGTAGAAAGATTTAAGTATTTTTATAAGCGCCCTCTCTATATAAAAACTCTGAACGCAGGGAATAAAACTCAGTCGGTACTTATTTCTTCCCCGGATCTCTTTTTGTTGAGGTGCCAGTACTAAACGTCAGTTAAGGCGTAACCAAAATATTTAATTGCAGAGCTCGTATTAACGGAAAAGATATCCTTCCTAATTTTGTAATGTTTGAAGTCTCATGCGGCCTTTCAATTCTTTTTTTGGACTATACATGTTGATTCGCGATGACTGATGACAGAATTGAACTAGGAGTAATTTGCTATCTGTTTTCAATCGTCTTTCACGTGCAAATTATGCCAGTGGTAAAGGTAATTTCACGCTCATATTTTGGCAGATTAATTCTGTTGGCAGTTGTGGCCTTCATGGGCATCGTCAAGAGAGAAAAAGCTATGACAAACGTAAAATTTAAACGCCTTCTAAGTAGAAAACAGGGAAAGAGTAGGTTAATCTATGTCTGAACTGCGCATGTCAGCGTGCCTTAAGAATATGGCCGGCTGTTTTGGTCGGCTCGTTTTACTTGGAATGTTATCCTTAGGGCGATAATCCCTCCTCCGCCGACAAGTAAAATCAGATAAAAAATTTCCGGAAAGAAGTGATGCACTCCTTCAATTATGGGAGTGTATTTATAACATAACTACTCAAAGCCATGTTGTCTACTTGACGTATTTGATTTCATTTACATGTTTACAGTGCACTATCAACGGTTTTCTCTGCATTTTTTAA